AAAAAAAAAATAAATAAATAAAATAAAATAAATAAATAAAAATAAATAAAAATTGGAAATCTTGGGTATGACTTCTTTCTTGTACCATTCAACATTCTTGATGTTTACTAGGCCAGTCCAAATAATCTATTTCTTGTGTGCCTGTTTATGTCAGTTTTTTTGTGACATGTGGAGAAGTGGAGCTGAGAGTAACCAAATTAGAATGAAGGAAGAGCTGTTTGTGAATGTCCATGTGACAAATGACAAAACTGGTTTTCCAAGAGGGACAGAGCTTGTTCAAGTTGAACGTTGTATCATATATCATAACTGGGCAAGGTTGAGCTATTCAGGTATTTATTTATGGATGTAATTTCATTTACTTGACATCCTAGTGTATTGTTGATGTCACGCACGTCTGTGTGAAGAGACCACCGAACAGGCTTTGTGTGAGCAATAAAGCTTTTTAATCACCTGGGTGCAGGCGGGCTGAGTCCGAAAAGAGAGTCAGCGAAGGGACATGAGTGTGGGGCCAGATAAGTGTGGGGCCGTTTTATAGGATTTGGGCAGGTAAAGGAAAATTACAGTCAAAGGGGGGTTGTTCTCTGGCGGGCAGGAGTGGGGGTTACAAGGTGCTCAGTGGGGGAGCTTTTTGAGCCAGGATGAGCCACGAAAAGGAATTTCACAAGATAATATCATCGCTTAAGGCAACGACCGGCCATTTTCACTTCTTTTGTGGTGGAATGTCATCAGTTAAGTCGAGGCAGGACATTTGCACTTCTTTTGTGATTCTTTAGTTACTTCAGGCCATCTGGGCATACACGTGCAAGTCACAGGGGATGCGGTGGGCTTGGCTTGGGCTCAGAGGCCTGACAGTTGAGAAGTTGTATGTTGCTAAATTGATCGTCTTAGTTTTGCAAGAGGTTATACTTTTTTCCACTCTAATAAGGAGACTGCAGGAGGTTATACTTTTAACCTTGTGTTAAATTCTTTGTAAGGAAAATTCCTTTGTGAATTAGAATATAATTTGTAAGTTTATGCTGAATTTGGAGGGGGATTCATTGATTTATCATTCAACCTTATGTGGATACTCTGTAGTAATCTTACTAGTGTAGGTTGAGCAAAAGGTGTGTGCTTGAGTTTGTTCCTATAAAATTTTTTCATGACAGCACCTGGAGAGTGGAAATGTGAAAAAAGATGAGGATCGGCACTTTCTAGAAGTGTTGGTCTAAGTTTTCATTTATTTACTATATGATTTTGAATGCCATCAACTAATACATTTTCAATTATCCCTGAACCCTTTGGTCAGTTAGTGTCAGTAGGAGTTAGAAAAGATCCAGTTGGCCGGGAACAGTGGCTCACTCCTGTAATCCCAGCACTTTGGGAGGCTGAGATGGGTGGATCACGAGGTCAGGAGTTCAAGACCAGCCTGACCAACATGGTGAAACCCCATCTCTACTAAAAATACAAAAATTAGCTGGGCATGGTGGCAAGCGCCTGTAATCTCAGCTACTCTGGAGGCTGAGGCAGCAGAATCGCTTGAACCCAGGAGGCAGAGGTTGTAGTGAGCAGATATCGCACCATTGCACTCCAGCCTGGGCAAGAACAAGTCCCCGTCTCAAAAAAAAGAAAAAAGAAAAAGAGCCACATCTACTTGTGGCCTGGAAAATTGATGGGAAGTTCCTGTACACATTAAACCAGATAATGTCCATTCACTGGTGTTTTTATTTTATTTTTTTTGGAGACAGTCTTGCTGTATCATCCTGGCTGGAGTGCAATGGCACCATCATAGCTCACTGCAGCCTCAACCTCCTGGGTTCTACCCATCCTCCTGCCGCAGCCTCCTGAGTAGCTGGGACTACGGGTGCCTGCCACCACTCCCAGCTAATTTTTTATTTTTTGTAGAGATGGGGTCTCACTATGTTGCCCAGGATAGTCTTAAACTCCTGTTCTAAAGCAATCCTCTTGCTTTAGCCTCCCAAAGTACTGAGATTACAGGCATGAACCATTGCCTGCTCCTGGCCAGTGTTTTTGATTTAAAAGAGAAATACAAGCCGGGCTCAGTGGCTCACGCCTGTAATCCCAGCACTTTGGGAGGCCAAGGTGGGGGGATCACCTGAGGTCAGGAGTTTGAGACCAGCCTGACCAACGTAGAGAAACTCTGTGTTTACTAAAAATACAAAATTAGCTGGGCGTGGTGGCGCATGCCTGTAATCTCAGCTACTTGGGAGGCTGAGGCAGAAGAATCACTTGAACCTGGGAGATGGAGGTTGTGGTAAGCCAAGATCGCGCCATTGCACTCCAGCCTGGGCCATGAGAGCAAAACTTCATCTAAAAAAAAAAGAAGAGAGAGAGAGAGAGAAATACAGGCCCAGTGCAGGGGCTCACACCTGTAATCCCAGCACTTTTGGAGGCCAAGGTCGTAGATCGCTTGAGCCCAGGAAATCAAGACCAGCTTGGGCAATGGTGAAACCCCATCTCTACCAAAAGTACGAAAATTAGCCAGGTATGGTGGCACACACCTGTAAAGTCCCAGCTACTCAGGAGGCTGGGGCGAAAGGATCACTTGAGCCCAGGAGGTCGAGGCTGCAGTGAGCCTTGATTGTGCCACTGTACTCCCAGCCTGGGTGACAGAGCGAGACCCTGTGTTAATAAACAAACAAATAAAAGAGAAATACATCTAATAATCTGCATCACTTATCTGTGCTTGGAACATTCAATATTAACTCCACCCTTTCCTTTTTCTCTAGGCAAATAAGGGCGAGACTGAAAAATCAAGTCACTCAGTTGAAGGAGGAAGTACCTGGTTTCATACCAGGCCTGGCAATATTACAGGTATTATGATAGTTTATTTCCATGAATGTTGTCTTTGCTTGATTTCTTAATATCATTTCACACCTCTCCCTCTACTTTCCTTTCCTTTTTTTATTTTTTTGGCTGCTGTGTAATCTCATGCCTTTTCAGTCTCTCTTGACAGGTTCCCCCTCTTTGGCTCAGTTTCTAAATGTTGGCATATCCCGGCCCTCTGCTCTTCTCTGTGGATACCCTTTCTCTAGGCCAGTGTCTCTTAACTTTTGGTCTTAACTTAGAGCCCCTTTACAATCTTTTTTTTTTTTCCTTTAATTTAATGTATTTATTTATTTACTTTTGAGAGAAAAGGTCTTACTCTGTTGCCAGGCTGGAATGTAGCAGTGCAAACATAACTCACTGTAGCGTTGAACTCCTGGCTTCAAGCAGTCCTCCTGCCTCTGCCTGCCAAAGCATTGGCATTATAGGTGTGAGCCACTGTACTTGGCCCCCTTTACACTCTTAAAGATGTAAGACCTCAAGGAGCTATTGTTTATACAGATTTATCCATTAATGTTTACTGTATTAGAAATTAGGAAGTTTTGGCCAGGCACGGTGGCTCATGACTGTAATCCAGCATTTTGGGAGGCCAAGGTGGGCAGATCACCTGAGGTCAGGAGTTTGAGACCAGCCTGGCCAACATGGTGAAACCCCACCTTTATTAAAAATACAAAAATTAGCTGGATGTGGTGGTGGGCGCCTGTAATCCCAGCTACTCAGGAGGCTGAGGCAGGAGAATTGCTTGAACCCGGGAGGTGGAGGTTGCAGTGAGCCAAGATTGTGCCACTGCACTCCAGTCTGGGTGACAGAGATTCCGTCTCAAGAAAAAAAAAAAAGAAATTAGGAAGTTTTAAAAATGTTTATTCATTTAAAAATGCCAATAGTAAGCTCATTTATTATATGTTAACATAAATAACATTTTATGGAATAATAACTTTTTTAAAAACAAAATTTAGTGAAAAGAGGCATTATTTTGTATTTGTGCACACCTCTTTCCTGTATGGCTTAATAGAAGAGAGCTGGAGTCTTATCTGCCTCTGCATTCAGTCTTTTGCTGTGTGCTGGTTTGGTTGAAATATATGGAGAAAATTTGGCTTCATACAGATGTGTAGCTGTAAAAGGGAAGAACTTTTTAAATAGTCTTTCCAGGTAATTGTGGGTATTTTTCTTTGATGTTGTACCAGGACTCAGTAAGTAAAGTTTTAAAAGATTAGTTGCAATGTAGAATCTGAAACATCATCAGTGAACTTTGATACTTTGTTACATCTTCTCAGACTTGCATACTTTGTTACATCAAAATGTTACATTTGGAATGAATATTTACCCCATGCATGGTTTTGTAACATCCTTTGTTCCTCATTTGGAAAATAATAAGTTCTCTGAATTATGCAGATCTTCCAAATGTTAACATTTCATTATGCAATATGAAAGAATTGGAATCATTAACATCACCAAGCTCATCAGAGAAGTTCTCAAGTATTGAGAAGCTGTCAAGCTCACAGGGGTGGATAAAAAATTTTAACTTTCACCCAAAAACTCACATTTTATCATTGGCAACAAATACAATTAATTGTTTCTCTGGAAATACCAGGCTCACTTTATTCATTTTTGAAAAAATATTTGTCAGATACTCAAGCCTGAATAATCATTGCTTGTCAGTTGTTATTTCAACTTAAGATGGTGTTCCATATAAAAATGCATCTGTTTCAGCTAACAAGGCAAAAAAACACAAGTGCAGCCTGGACAACAAAGTGAGACCCCCATCTCTACAAAAAAATTAAAAAATGAGCCAGGAGTGGTAGTACAGACCTGTGGTCCCAACTACATGAGAGGGAGGCAGGAGGATCACTTGAGCCCAGGAAGTCAAGGCTGCAGGGAGTTGTATTCATGCCACTGTACTCCAGCTTGGGTGACAGAGTGAGACCCTGTCTCAAACAAACAAACAAAAAATGCACAAATACTTTAGTAACAACCACAACCACTGTACTTCTGTATATAGCAGAAGTGCATTATGAGTGCTTCCCAATTCCTTACATAGACTATTAAAAACACATGCACTCAAGAGTTGAGGGGTGTGTGTGTGTGTGTGTGTGTGTATATATATATATATATATATATATATAAAATTTACTCAGTACAGTGGTACAGTGGCACAATCTTGGTTCACTGCAACCTCCATCTCCCAGGCTCAAGTAAGTAAGTGATCCTCCCACTCAGTCTCCAGAGTAGCTGCGATTACAGGCATACACCACCATGCCTAATTTTTTTTTTGAGACCGAGTCTTGTTTTATCGCCTAGGCTGGAGTGCAGTGGTGCAATCTTGGCTTACTGCAGCCTCCACCTCCCAGGTTCATGCAGTTCTATTGCCTTAGCCTCCTGAGTAGCTGGGATTACAGGTGCCTGCCATCACACCCTGCTAATTTTTTTTTTTTTGAGACAGAGTCTTGCT